TTAAAAAATTGAATATAATGATAATATTTAAAAAATTTAATCTTTAAAACTAATAATTTTTTTAAAATTAATCAGGATCAATTAGGATCAATTAGGACTTTTACCAACCCTATCTATAGGAGAAGGGGTATAGATTTGAAGAAACAAAAATTACAAGATCAGAAAAAGTGGGATATATACAAGGAGTAAGATATATGTCTTATTGAAGTATCATATACATGTGACCTTTTCTCTTATATTAGCATATGTTAATTGAGAAAGAATTCTTAAATAATTTTCAAAGTTAAGTCTGAAAGTATTATTTTTTTAGTATTTTTCTGCTGAGACGACAGCCTGTCCCGAAAATTTCATAATATATTTTTAAAATATGATATTAAGCAATATAAAAGATTATATGAAACATTAAGTTAGAAAGCTTGGTCCAGTAGATGGAATTGTTTTCCATATTTATGAGATAAAAGATGCAAAAAAATTCAACAGATTGAACTCAACTCCCTAATGGCCTTTCACCCTTCTGATCTCAGAACGAATCAACTCAGGAAAAACTAATGAAGTCGTGAATCTATTATTGGAAAACAAGTTATATCAAATGTTTAATGGAAAAAAAAGGGAACCAGATATATCAAAAATGATGATTTAGTTCTTATTGGCCATTATCTTAACGAGCCAAAATATATGTATCTCAATAACTTTTTGCATTAATTGATATTAAAATGGAATCATGTAAAAAATAAATATGCCTGCCAAATTATCTTTAGAAATTGCAAAGCAGATTGCAAAGAAGCGGAAAGGGGATTGCCTTTTCAAAGAACATGTTAATTGCATGATTCCAATGGATTGGACCTGCGAAAAAGAATATACTTGAATCACCAGTTTTAATAGTATAAAAAAATAATAAAACTTGGTACCCAGTTTGCAAAGATATCTGATTAATCATTTTAGTTGCTAAAGAGTTAGCTTTGAGTCGAGGTGGAAAATGTCTTTCAGAGAATTACATTAATAATCGTACTCCTTTGCTATGGACATACAAAAAACATCATCAATAGTATTCGCCTCTTTCTCAAGTTAAAGACTTTAAACATGGTATCGCAAATACAATTATAATAATATTGAAGTTGCAAAAGTATTAGTTCACTAGAAATGGAGAATATCTTTCTTCAGAGAATTTTGACAATAAAAGTCCTTTACAGTGAAAGTGTGTTAAGGGGCATATATGGACTGCAAACCTAAATAAAATAAAAGATTATAACCAGTAGTGCCCTACTTGTGTGAGCAAAATCAGACTATATTTGATATGAAAATTCTAGCACAAAAAAATAACGGAGAATGCATTTCAGATCAGTATTATAATGTATACACAAAACTTTTATGGCGTTGCAAGAATTTTCATATATGGAAGCTCCACTAACTATTCTGAGAGGTAGCTGGTGTCAATACTGTGCTAGTACTGCAAAATTTAATATTGAAATTGCTAATCAAATTGCATTATTGAGATAGGGCCAATGCCTTTTAGTGGAATACAAGAATATAAGCGCACCACTTCTATGGGCTTGTAAATATAATCATCAATGGTGGTCCTCACTTAGTAGTATAAAACATTCTGATACATGGTGTCTATACTGTGCAGGTATGGCCAAACATACTTTTGATGATGCTAAGCAAATTGCTTTCACTCGGGGTGGTAGGTGTTTTTCAACAGAATACAAAAATAATAAATCTCCTTTATTATGAATCTGTAAAAATCAGCATAAATGGTATGCAAAATTTGATAATATTGTGAATAAATGCTCATGATGTCCGTATTGTAATAAGTATAAACGTGAAAATCTATGTCGTCAAATCTTAACAAAATATTTGGGCCCTCCATCAGAAAATCGTAAGTCTAATTTCTTAAAAACACCAGAGTATTCAATGGGGCTACAACATGATATTCCTTATTATCACTATGGTTTTGCAATTGAAGTACAAGGAGAACAGCATGATAAATATATAAAATTCTTTCATAGAGGAGACCCGAATAATTTCATCAGACAGCAAGAGCGGGATCAACTCAAGAAAGAATTATGCGAAGAAAATTGCATCGACTTAAAATATGTCTGGTATTAAGATCTGCATATAGTTATTCCAGAGTATCTTCGAGAACTGGGTCTTATAAAATAAATATGAAACTTTAAATGCGTGTATTTCATTAAAATCCTTATTTTTTCGATATAGTAATTTCATGTTCCACCCAACCAAAATGAGAAAAATGAAGTATTATATATATTATTTTAACGAGACAAAATTTAAAGAATATGAATCACCCTGCAAGTCCTGCATTTCCTTTTCGTTTGTTAATTTGCGGTGGGTCAGATAGTGGAAAAACTAATATGATTCTCAATCTTATCCTTGGTAATAAAATCCAACTTTATACAAGGAGAAGAAAAGGGAGCGATATATCAAGAATGACGATCTAGTTTTAATCGGAAAGCATATCCATGAGCCCAAATGGGTATTGGTGAAAAACTGCTATGAAATTTTTGCAAAGGATCCAAAACCATATCGGGAGAATGTAACATTTCGTGCAATAAAAGTGAATGCAATTCCAGACATAACTAAATTTTCTCCAGATAAGAATAAGTTGTAATCTTCGAGAATCTTTGTGCTGAATCAAAAAAAAATTCAGGATCGGATTGTTCCATATTTTATTAGTGGCCGACATCAAGGTGTATCAAGCATATATGTGAGCCAGACAAATACACAAACTCCTAAAATTATTCGTGAGAATATTTCATACTTAGCTTTATTTTGAGGCTCAGGAAGTCGTGAAGATATATGCAGAATTGTGCGTCAATATACGGATAATCCGAAAAAAGCATCCCAGATAATGACAAGCATTTGCGAGATAGGAATTTTGTGGTCTTTGATTTTACTAAAGCAACTGATGATCCTCTCGCAACTAGATTAGGTTGGGACATACCCCTGAAATTGGACAAATAAGGTTTGATTCTGTCTTTTTGTATATATGCATTGTATAATTATATGAAACCATGTACGTATTACATATAGTAAGGCCGGATTGTGAGCAAACAACTTTATTAATATTGAAAAAAAAGAAACAGCTGATATAGCATATAATTAGTTAATGAATATTTACGTAAATATATGTTCTATTAACAAGTAATATCTTGTTTGATAGTTATTTGAACTTCACAATTTTTTTGAACGATGGTGTTCCAAGTGTTGATCGACGCCATCCTTTAAAATTATTATCACTCTCGAATTCTTCACTTTTATTCATAATTGAGAGAATATCCTTTATTGTTTTTTCATACGCTATCTAGAGGAACAGTTTTGAATTAGTCATTTATACAGAAATAAAAAAGTAATATTGATATTCCTAAGTTATACCTGAAATGCAAACAGCGTGTTCAAACCAGTTAGAAACGTATTGCATACTTCGAAAGATCTTGGAAGATCTACACTACCAGTATCAATCATAACGTAAATCCCTGGGCTAATTAATGTCATCATATAACCGGTCCACTTTGTCACTATTTATTACATGAAGAATCATTAATTAGGTAGGATAAGGTTAGTTAAAACAAGCGTTCCTGGAAGACCAGCTTACCAATAACTTGACAACTGAAAATCCGATTGACACCGGTCTTACGCGAAATATTATCAAGGGAATCTTTCATAAATATCCCCAATCTAACCAGGTCGATTAGATTCTTTTTTCCGTGTTGTTTTTGCCTTCTCCCGTCACCTCACCGAACATCATAAACAAATTTTCCTGTATGTTAAAGAAATAATTAGAACAGATTTTTGTATTTTTATGATTAACTGTTTTTTCTATAAGTACCGTTAGACAATTTTCCCGATAATATCGGGTTGTTTAGCCCGGGAAGGATCACCGATGGCAAGTTTTCGGACCTTTACGCTGGTGCTGGATGTATTCGGCCATATCGTAGGATATATGTATGAGTCATGAAAAAAAATTCGTAAAATCGGACTTATTATATTCGCCACAAGTGTCCCTTCGCTTATAATTTCTTTCAATGGATGTAATGGGATAGTATAAGACCTGCAAAGTAGCAAGAAAAAATCTTGTTAACAGTCATTTCAAAAAGTTGCTTAACATAGAGATATCGAAACTTACAGATGTTCAAAGAGAAACTTCATTCGTCGAAGAAATTCTTTCTCTGCTGTTGAATTAAATTCTTTCGAAAAAGATTTGGTGATGGTTTCGCGAAGTTCGTGTAATCCACCATCATTATCATCAAGAGCAACCTAAGCAAGATAGTCAGTAAAGGGAACATTGCAAAAGAATGATGATAATAGAAGATACGAACCTCAATGTACTCTTGTAGGAATGATTTTATGTCCCTTGTTACTTTTTCTTTTCCGATTAACTTTGATTTAATATCCTTTCTGAGATCTTCGAACGTTTCCCTAGAGAACGTTTTTACTTGCGTTTCCGAATAATTATCCATTTGTAATAAAGAATATGGATAGACTCCTGAATTTTTAAAAAAAGAAGATAATCAACCTCCATCAGTAAAGTTAATCATTAAAAAGACATTCCATTTAAAAGTTCTACCTACAATATTTCGTGATAATTTTTCGTCATTATCAGACCAGAATTTTGCGCATGAGCTAACGCTTTGGATCGATATGACTCAAATAATGACGATATGTTTTTTGTTTTGAAAATGAACTATAAAACGATTATTGGTTTTAAAAAATCGTACTACCAATCAACCTTAAGAAAAAATATACTTACAGGTATATCATTTCGATCAACGTCACTCGTCAAATCCCATTTCTTCCACGTTTAGCCTTAACTCACATTCATTGTCACTTTCATCACATTCTGATTCGTCATCATCTTCGGTCTTTGTGCGCTTTCTTGGCTTGTGAAGTACAAAAAATTAATATATACGTAAACCTTTGTATAATACACTATTTGTGTTACATTTATACTAACCTTTTCGTCGCTTTCACAATCTCGATCTAGTACTCGCTTCGATTCAGGAGTATTAACATAAGGACAGCATTCTAATTGCACGATAATTCATTATGGATAAGCAACAAGATTAAAAAAAATGTATATCTACTCTCACAAAATAACTTACATCGTCTCTCAATGTGGATATCGTTTCATCAGACACAATCGAACGTATTTCCTTTGCTTCTTCGACGGTTTTATCCAACGTAGATTTTGCATAGTTTAACTATTAAGTATGGTTAGTCAATTTCTCATTAAAATAAGATTCTATAGATGTCACCTTGGTAAGTTTTATCGAGTCCGATATCCAAAAAGCTTCTACTTCTGGGGATGATTTCTCGTCCTTATAAAACAGAGAATATATTAGTCTAATCAAATAACCAAAACTTATCATCATAATCAAAGAATTAGGAGATATATTCCATGAAACGAGACGCAGTCTAACAACTAGAAAGACGCAGTTCCTAGTTGCAACATGGAAATAGAGGCGCAGTCTATTCCCGAGGGAAGGCGCGGTTCACTGTCACTGGCAGAGACGCAGTCAGTCAGCTACTCAGGGCTTCTATCTTAGTTAATTGATAAATATTTATATAAAAAACACGTACATCAAATTCGTTAAGACATTTTTGAGCTTGAGCACATTTTTCTTTTGATTCATTATTTGAAATAATATTATCAAGTTCTTTCGTATATTTCCTATGTTCTTTAAGTTTATCTCTTGTGAAATCTTTTGCATACTGTCGTCTGTATTGCAAGAAAGAAATCAATGACCAAGTTGCGTGTTCTTCAAAGTACGTTTGTGGGTCACCCATTTAAGTGGTTTTGAATTTAGTAATTTGGTATTTGTGACAGATACGCGTTATAATTTTTACTGGTGACAGCATAGCTTAGAGAAAGTTTGTTTTTATTGGTTAACGATCAACGTGTGTCACAATATTATGATTGGCTAAATAAATAACACGTGATTACGCGTATTACAAATCACGTTATGGTTTATCTATTGGGATTTTTATCATTTTTATCTTAAAATGATTTTTTTTTATTTAATAGAGCCAAAAAATTATATATTTGCTAAACAAATTACTATACTTACGAAAGTTTTATATAAGAAACATGGTAATATAGTACTTGATCCTATTCTTTTTCAACAAATAATTGAAAAAATTGATCCACGTTTAAAAGATTTTTTTGATAACTTGGTAAAGGTATTAATCCCTAATAACAGATCTGAATATAATAAAATAGAAGCTAAAAAGACGATTGTAAGTTTATATTATATTATGGTTGGAATGCGGAATAAGTTTGTTAATAACTTTAAATTAGAAATTGGATTATACTTGTTAGCATCAGGAGTAACACAAACTGCAATTGATACACTAAATAGTATTGCATTTTCTGCTTGTTATGTGACAGTTAATAATTTTAAGCAAAAACTTGTAAATGAACATTCACTAAAAATCAGAAAATTTCTTTCTGAACAAGTAAATAAAAAAATAATATAAAATCATAAATTTTTAAAAAAATTTATTATTAACTATAAAATTTTTTTTTTAAAATGATTATTTATATATTTACAATTTGGATGATTATTATAATATATATAAAAAAAGAAAACCAAATACTACAACTTTATCTACTGCTAAACACATGGCTACTTGTATTTTAAACAAGTTTCAGCTTGTGCATCAATACTATTATTTTTAATAATAAATCAATTCATAATCCAATAAATATTGATACAAGTAATATTTGTTTTTGATTAATACATAAATATCATGGAATATTTGATATTACATATACCAATCGTAAAAGCAATGGCTTACTTACAGATAATTAGATATTAGTTTTTTTGATCAAATTGAATTGCTTACGATATATTGTTATAAAGATGCAATTGCAGAACGGAAAGAAGAATGTTCAATAAAAGGAATTTGTTTAATTGGACTTCAAGAGAAGAATTTATACTTTATGAATGATTATATTAAAGCATTGGAAATGATTCTAAATATTGATAAAGATACTGGTTATTTATATAATAAAATTGTACCATTAGTAGCAGATTGGCCTGAACAATTATTCATTCATAAAGTAATAACAATCTTATATAAAACAGTTTCTCAATATTCTATACCGGCTAGAATTAATTCATCTGTTCCAATTCTAGGGTCTCTATATGTTTCTCTAAATAGTAGAGAATATGTATTAATTATATATTATATATTTTTACAAAAGTTATTTTATTTTGTATTTGGCAAAGGAAGATACTAGCAAAAAAACCAAAGGCATGACATATTAACTTACTTCTTAACTTAGCTTATAATAGATGATGTAAAATTAAAGATATAATTATAATAAAATTTAGACATACTTGTAAAGATATTGAATATTATATGCTTATTGATTTGTTAGACAATGTAATACCGGCAACCTTAGATATTTATGCTATTCCTTTCTGATCTGGCTCATTTGATGAATACATAGAAACCATTTTTCAAATATGGATATTTGCTCTTCAATGGAAATGACACAATTATATTAAAGTATCATTGCCTTTCTATCTGATGTTTTTTATTGATAAGATATTAACCATCCTTTTGCAGAAGCCATCAAATTATTTTTAATAAATTTCAATGATTATTATATTAAAAATATGCATAGTAAAATACAAACCTATACATCTATAAATAGCAGTATTGATAAAATTATTAGATAAGCTTATGTGATTGGTATTTTATCTTAACTTTCCAATTTTTGCTTATAATATTATTGATTTTCATAAAATCATATGATTCATTATATAGACACATAAAATCATTGTAAACTTAAAGATACCTTTGAAAAAATAGAAGCATATCCCTACAAGCCATCATTATTAAACCTACTGATAGAAAAAACATCATTATTCTTGTTAGATTATTTCCAAAAAGTTTTTAATAATCATGAAAAAAGTAAACCAATTAATAAATCAAGAAAAAAGAAGACATCACAATATGAATTATTTATCTTGGGAGAAACTGTTGATCCAAGATATCTTCTAATAGATTATAGCACTAATATGTCTTCGCCATCAGATACTTGTGATTATTGTCACAAAAAACTTGATGATGGTGAAGTATTAATCTGTAGACATAGTTATCACTTTAGATGTTATTAAGTGATGGAGTATAGTTGCTGGTATTGTGAAGAATATTATAAACGTTGAATTTATAGCAATGTGAACTCTTTTTTAGAATGATTAGAAAGGGATCCAAATATTCTTACTTCAGAAGAAAAGGATGAAGAAGTTCCAGTAGAAGAAATAGAAACAAATAGAAGCCAGGAAGTACATATAGAATTTTTAAATGCACTCAACAATGTTAATTCTTGGTAATATGTAATAAAATAACAAATTCATTTGCATCAATAAAAATTAAACGTTGTGTTTTATAAATGTGCTTTTAAAACAATTGTTTTAAATAATTTTCTTTTTAGAGATTTGACTAACGGTAATCACAATTTCAGCCAATTGCTATAAGTAAAGAAAACTCTTCTTATAAAACTCTCTGAAACATTGAATCTCATTGGATCTTATTAGCTCAAATGAAAGAAATAACTTTAAAGAACATCTCTGCAAAATTTCGTTACCGATTATTTAGTAATTTTTATGAACAGATCCTGAAATTATTATTCAAGAAATGCAAGCTTCAACTCCTAAGACTTCAAATCAAAATAAGCCTATTCAAATATTAATACCTAATTCTGTTCGACTAAAATCTCCTAAACCACAAGCAGAAGTGGTTACCCAAGCTTCTGAGACTTCTAGTCAAAAGGAGGGATCTAGTATAATTGAGCGACAAAACGCTCAGAAAGGAATATGCTGAATCGTCATGTGGACGATCATTTTTTAATTGAACCTTATTGTAAAATACATATAAATTATTGTGTAACGATGATCACCAAATATAGACTTTCCCTATGCTCATCGGCAATATTTTTTTGAATATCGGCGAAAAAATTAGCCATTATTGTATTTTTATTTATGGCTGTTTTTGGATTATAAATTTAATAAAACACAAAAAGAATGATGTTATTCCAAATATGCATATATATAAAAAAGTTATATAAACCCGATGTTCAAAAATTCCATTTCCCTCACATTTTCTGCTATCTTTATCCTTCATCCTTCGTCTTTTCACTTTTTTTTTTTTTTTTTTTTTTAATAAAAAAGAAAATCTAAAAGATCATATTTACTTTTTCTCTTTCCTCTATTTTTTTTTTAAAAAAAAAAACTTAGTTGATATTAATTTTCTTTAAAAAAAGAAAGTTTTGATTATACTTCATTAGGTTTCAATCATTTTACTTCGATTGATAATCAATATGGCCAGCAGTAGTTCATCTACTTTATTATCAACGGTCATTCCACCAGCACCGTTAGTAATCAATCGATCCTCTTTTTTCTTGGTATTTTTTTTTTTTAATATTCATATCGCATATTTAACTTTTTAGCGTTTTCTTTTACAAATTAAGATCTCCACATGTTAGATTTGCATCTTTGAGGCATTGGTATTCACGTTCAGAACAAACATTAGAAGCATCAGAAGCAAGATTATTATCAAGGTTGGCGTTCTTTACGATAGGTGGTAAAACGGTAAATTCACCAGAAAATTCAAAAACATTGGCAAGGGTGGGATTGGTCGACTTGGATGGTGATGGGATGAGAAAGATCAATACATTGGTCATAGATCAGAAAGGAAACGACTTCGACATTGATAAAGATGGATCAATAGGTTCCTCCCCATCCTCCTCCTCCTTTTCATCCTTCTCTTCCTCTTCTACCAAAACAAATTCAAATACCGTCGATTCAGATGAAACCTTAAATTATGAGCAACTTGGATTCACTGAAATTCCGCAAACGGATTTGAAGATCCAATCAAATACAACGACAGTAGATGAAGAGAAAAATCCTTCGATTAAAAATTTGGTAATGTGTCATGGGTTTGGAGGGGGACTTGGATTTTTTTATAGGAATTATCATGGATTAAGTCAAGTACCCGGGTGGAGAATTTATAGTATAGATTGGTTGGGGATGGGTAGAAGTTCTCGACCACAGTTCATTATAAAGGGGAAATCCGTTGATGAATATGTTCAAGAGACCGAAAATTTTTTTATTGAATCATTTGAAAAATGGAGAAAAATTCATAAAATTGATAAAATGACCCTATTGGGTCACAGTTTAGGAGGATATTTAGCAGCGGTATATGCTATAAAATATCCTATGCACGTAGAAAAACTGATATTGGTTTCCCCGGTTGGTGTACCAAGAAATCCACAAAATGATCCGAGATACTTTAAGGATGGTGGAAGAAAAATTCCTGGATGGATCGTAAAGTTATGGAATGCCCATCTCACTCCACAGTTAATATTGCGTTGGTTAGGACCATTCGGTCCGTCCCTTGTTACGAAATATACCGCACATAAATTTTCTCACCTTGAAGAAATCGATCAATTAGATTTGCATGATTACCTTTATCACATTTCCACTGCCGCGGGTAGCGGAGAATTTGCCATTACAAGAATTCTTGAACCCGGTGCTTATGCTCGTAAACCATTAATTGATAGATTGTATGAAATACAAATGCCCACCACATTCTTGTATGGTGAAGATGATTGGATGGATTATCGTGCCGCCGAGGAAGCCAAAGATTTAATGAGAGTGTTCGTTAAAATTGAGAGAGTTCCAAAAGCTGGTCATCACCTTTATCTTGACAATCCTACCGAGTTTAATAGATTGGTGATCAAAGAGATGTTGGAAGGTTCTATTAATAATTAAAAGTAGAGATTAATGATGTGTAATTTATTTTAATTTAATTTAATTATTTTTTATTTATTGACAATAATGTATATTATATGATATGAATAAATGTGTTGATTATCCAATTTTAATTTAAATTATTTTATTTTTTTCATTTACATTTTTATTAAAAATCTCCAATATTTATTTATTCAACTTCCATATCATCGGATTTGGTAAATGTAAAAAGTCCAGAAAATGCAGCTTGTAAAGCTCTTTCATGTACAAATTTTGGAATAAATCCACCAGCACGTAGTCGAGTATTGATTTCCGTATAACTTTTTTTTTTTTAAAAAAATGATGTTAAGGAATGAACTCTATTAAAGTTAAATCTCGCGTAAAAGAAAAGAAAAGGATACGGATCATAATATTTGTCTTTAAGTGTATAACAATCAATGTCCAAATATTCAGAGGAAATTGGATCAAATTCTTGTGAATCTTCTACTGGTTCTATATTATTATTGTACCATGAACCTATATGATTATTATTATTATTATCTCTTGGTGATGGATAAATTTGTGAATTATTAATTTCTTGACTGCGGGAACTTTCTCTCATGGCCTTCTTTTCTGCTAAAATATCGGCCGCAGAACCTTTTGAATTCGCCTAAACGATATAACTTTGATTAATTAACTACTTTCATGAGAATGGACCTTTTTTTACAGAGATGTATTTACCAGTTCTTCGATTAATTCGGCTTCATGTTTTTCCCTTCTTTTTTTCTCTTCATCCAATTCCTTTTTATAATTCTCAAATTTCAAACGCTTTTCCGATTTCTCCTTTTCATTAAGATAATTTACCATTTTGGTTTCTTCTTCTTGTTTACGTTTATTATGAGCTATTATTTCTTTATTTTCATTAGCAAATTTGTCAATCAAAGCTTCGGTTTCTTTTTTGTTCACTTCATTGATAAGATTCCATGCTAAAAAATAATAAAGCATGTTAATTAAATTATGTAAAAAAGACTTTTTAACATCGGTAACCCTCACAAACCGATATTTTCAACCATTTCCAAGTAATCATTGTATTTTCGTAAATTCTGAAAATCTTCTTGCCGTTTATTAAACCTAATGATAATAATCAATTATTTTTTCTTTTTTTTTTTAAAAAAAAAAGAAAAAATAAACGAAAAAATTTTCCTACTGTTTTGATAAATTCCTTCTAATCTTTACTTCTTTTTCTACACGTAAATCTTCAAATGTGGGTTCAATAAAACTAACTTTTCTTAAAATTCTTTGACAAATCGGACATGGTCCCGCTCCGTTGGCGAATAATCTATCTATACATGATTCACACCTATCATTTGATTTTTCAATTAAGTAAGGAATGTTTTTTTTTTTGTCTTTTTTTATTGTTATGAAAACAAAAAAAAAATCCCCCTTCAGTTGTGTACATACATTTTATGATAACAGTCGCTAACAAGTAGTTTCATATTAGGTGTAAGGTATCTATTGTTCTTACATATCGGGCAAATTTCATCTGCGTCAAATGAGAACCTTGAGTTGATTCCATTTTTTGAAGATCCTGAAAGGGAAGTCATCATATTTATCAAAATTATTTTGGATTACGAGACTGAAATACAAATATTTATGGATTCAATTGTGGATCAATAAGGTCATAGGGCGTCCGATCCATCAAGGATTTGAAATTTTAAATTACAAATAATAAAAAAAAAATCTATAAAATATAATGTATTATATAAATAATAAATCATAAAAAAATAATTTTACAAATTTATAGATAAATTATTCTTAGATATATAAACTACCATTCTAAAGTAATTATAAATGTATCATTATTATAATACCATTATTTTGAACAATAAAAGTATTAGAAAAAACAATAAAAATATCATTTTAATTGAATAATACATCATTTTAAAAAATAATAAAAAAAATTTATTTTAATAAAATGATAAAAATATTATTTAAAGGAATAATAAAAAATTAGTTTAATTTATAATTTAATAATATTTTAAAGGAATAATAAAGAAATCATTCTAATTGAATAAATTGAATAATATTACATTATTTTAAAGAATAATAAAATAAAAAATTATTAATAATCTAAATATATTTATTGTTTAAGTAACATATATCACAATATCTGTCTATTTAAAAATTGAATTAATATATGATTAATCTCTTTGATTACACATTTTAAACTAGAACTCTGAATAGATCAGATCAGATTAGATAATTAATTTGAATCAATCTGAAAATATTAGATTAAGATCAAACATAAAATTGATTTAAATTACCATATTTATCGAAAATAAGCATACCTTTTTTATTATAGAGGTGTTTATTTTCAGGTAATTCACATGATTTATATAAAGCTGTGCCAAATCTTATCTGATGATTATCATATTATCTCAGTTAATGATACACGAAACCCATTTTAAACCTGTTAAAAAAATGCTACAAAAATATAAGAGAGTTATTAGAAAGGTTAGACAAACTTCATATTCTATTGAGAAGAAAAGAGAAGTTGTTAATTATGTAGAACAATATGACAGATGTGCAGCAGCAAACCACTTTAATCTTGATATTAGTATGGTTAGTCGTTAGGTTAGAGCAAACAAGACCTGGATAACCAAAACAAGTAGCAAAAAAAAGAAATTGGTTCTGGTTAAAAGATTTTATATTCTGAAGCTGAAAAAGTTTTATATGATTGGATTATTAGACAACAGAAGCAAGGATTGGCTGTAAATTACTTGATGATACAAAATAAAATGAAAGAAATTTTAAGTGAATCAAGTATAACAACTATTTATAATTTAATAAATAATTTTAAGGCATTACTTAGCTGGTTATGAAAAATTTTGAAAGGGCATAGACTAGTATTGCACTGACACACAAAAATATCTTAGAAACCCTCAAAATATACTAAAAAATTGCTAGAGAATTTTAATAGGTTTGTCATCCAACTTAGGATAGAGAAGTCTTTTAAAATACGCGATATTTATAACATGGATGAAACGCCTGTTTGGTTTGATATGGCAGGTAATTTTACAGTTAATCAAAAAGGTAAAAAAACAGTACAATCAACTCTTTCTACAACAAATTTTGATAAAACGAATTTTATAATACAACGGATTTTCAGTGTTAGACAGATTTTTAAATATAAAAAAACCCTTATTATACCAAATTTAGTAATTAAAAATTCGTACTACGTTTAACAAATTAAAGTCAGAAAAATTTATATATAAAATGACTCTTTTTA